AATAATAATAATAATAATAATAATAATAATAATAATAATAATAATAATAATAATACAGTAGGACTTTGGAAAGGAGCTTAAAAAATAAAATTACAATCACTTAATAGTTTAAATTCATAATATTTTAATTATATTTATATATTTTTTAATTTAAAATTATAATCTATAATACTATATTATTTTAAAAAGTTTTAAAAAATGTATTTTAAAAGACAAGAAAAAAAGCATCTTGGTACAACCAAGATAATATAACATGAGAATCGAGTGGAGGAGAAGAAATGGAGAAGTTATTAAATTTCAGTCTTTTGATTGAATGAAATCATCATTGAAATTTTTTTCTTTTAAAAATTTAAGTATAATTTAAAATTTTTAAACAAAAATAAAAAAATTAATAATATATAAAAAGTAAAAATTTTATAACTATATTTCTTCTTTTAAAAAAATAATTGGAAAAAAATCGATAGTAAAATTAATTTATCAAATATAAATTAATGTTATTGAGTGAGAGTTAAAATTTTCCTTTTCAATTTAATACTTAAAAGTAATTGTTTTTTAATGAAAGTCTTCTGGTTAACACACTTAAATAAATACATAAATATTCTTAAACAAAATATCACACACAAAACATGTACGAGAGTTTTCAAAACACATTTTACTGCAAGGTGGCTAAATAGACAGAGATGCGTTTGGCCCCACAAAAATATAAATTTCAAAGATGGTGACACTCACGGAAGCACAACAATAATGGTGGAGAATTCGCTCACTCAAGCAAAAAGTGTAAAAATTCAAGATTTCGCTGCTAACTTTAAATAACTTTAAATAATTATCTATTAATTTCCTTCTTCTCATTATCTACTACATATTTTGATTATGTTTTTAAAGGAATGTTGTAATTAACCCGTATGCGATTTTCTTATCAAGAAAAATATAATATAAGATATCTATAATATATATATATATATATATAAATTCTGACAATACACAAGCATAAATATGAAACCATAACTAAAGTAACAATTTCATTGTGTTTGCAATTTGGAATTTGAATTTGAAACACAATAATATTTTTAACAATTTTTTCGAATACCAAAATCAGGTTCATTTCCAATTTTGGCTAACAAAAAATACTAATTTAATTATATATATATATATATATATATATTATTTTATTGTTTTTAAATTTAATTTGATTTTTCTTTTTGTGTTATATTTTACGAGTTACGAAATTTTCAAAAAGCCATTATAATTCTGTACATACTTTTATCTCTTTTTATCCCCTCAAAATTCCTGCCACTTTTCTTCTTTTTCTCGTATTGTTGTAGTGTTTCTTTCACACTGTCATGATTTTGTTTTATTTTTTTATGTACTTTTTTTTCTTTCTCGATCACTTTTTTTTATCAATACTTATAAAGTTTGATTGCATAACTTTTTATATGCAGTATACCTTTTTTATTTGTTGAAATATTGGAAGGGAGATATTTGTTTTTACTCTTTGTTAATTTCTTACGTTGGTTGGAGATTTAGAATAATAAATATCAGATAAAATAAGGGTTGTTATCTTTTATTAAATAAATTATTTAAAAAAATCATCTTCTTATAAATTTTATGGAAACTCAAATGTATCCTAAATATCAATTTTTATTTAGTCTTTCACTTAAAAAAAATCACTGTTGTAAGATTATGAGACTTCAATTAGTGTTTTATTTATTATAAAATATATGTGAACAAATATATATTAAGCATTGTAATATTATTTATAATTTTACTTCGTATGTTAACATGATCAAACTACAAATATTATAAACATATTTTAAAATTGTGACCACACAAACACTTTACCTATGTTTACATTAGTATTAATAAAACTAATTTTTTCTTTTAGTCAACACAAATTTTCATCATTTTTATTTTTTAAAAGACTGTTTATTTAAAATTAGTATTTTTTTTAATTAAAATTATTATTTTATTTTTTAAATAATTATTTTATTTTTAAAATAATTATTTGTTTAAATCATTAATTATCGTCACACAAAAACCATTAGTAATAGTAAAATTTTATTGGTAATTTGAATTTATTGACGATAAAAAATTCTTTGATAAAATGCTCGTTGATAAATTTTATTGAAGAATAGAAAAATTTATTAAGAATTTTTATTAATAGATAAAAAAATCTTTAGTAATTATTAATAGTAAAAAATCCTTTGATAAATATTCATCAATAGTTACCAACAACTTAAATTTCTTAATAAATATTATTCTTCATCATCAATTACCGTCAAATTTTAGTCATCAATAAAGTCTTCTTCTTCCTTTTTTTTTTCTCTTCTTTTTCATCTCGTCCTCCTCCTCTCTCACTTACTTTTCTACTATCCTCACTGTTGTTGTGTTAGTCCCTTACTACTCCTCCTCATCTCATTCCACCAATGTTGATCATGGTCACTATCATTGCTATCATTACACGTTGTAGCATAATTATTGTTGTCATTAGTTTTGTCTTCTTCTCTTCCTCCTTTTCTTATTTTTATCCATCTCCACTTAACTTATACAAAAATCTCATTACACTTGATGAAAAATGTTATGCTTTTTTTTATCAACGAATTTTAAGACATAAGTAACACGAATTTTGCATGAATTAGTAAAAAGTCAAGAAAGAAAATGTAACGTTATTTTACTAACAAAACTTATTAACAAATAAATCCACAAGAAATAAAAAATATAAATTATTAATTAAATTTACCAATGAAAATATCAATCAACAGTAAAAATTTTAATTTATGGATGAATTTCACAAAAAGAAAATCAACACTAAAAAAAATTTCTATAAATAATTTAAATTTTAAAATTCGTCAATAAATTCTAAATAAATTTATTTTTGTCAATAGAGATTTATTTTCATCATTAAAATTTAATTCTAATTACAAACATTCTTATAATAAATCTAACTATCATTTTAAACTAAAAAAATTAGAACACATACAAACCCACCCAAATACACATGATCTTTTAATTTTTAATTAATTAGATAAAACTATTAAAATAATCTTAAGACTTACAAAGGAGTTAAAAATTATTAATATGATATTTAATATATTTTTTTCAGAAATATACAAATTGAAAATACCTTCCGAAATAACTAATCTGAAAAATATTAAAAAGAGAGGTGCTGGGGTTTTGTTCTAATTTTAGTGAGGTGTAAACTGAGGATTATGTTTTATGGAGTTGCGGGACGAAAAAAAGCGAGGTGCAGTAAGAAATAGCCCAATCAATAAACTGTCACAATTAAGAACCCAAACCCAAGAGACACGTACGACTGTTACTTCCACATAAAGCCATTCCTAGTATCATGTTCTTCAATTGGCCCGTCCACATTCGTCAATTAACATAAATAATCTTATTAAACAACATTAAGCTTATAATTTTGGCAACTACATGTGTGCGTATCTTAGTTTCTTGCTTTCATAATGCTTTTGAAAGGCAATCAATCATAAAAAAATAATAATAATTCTGACCGGTTATAGGAGCTTAAAGCTTAGTTAAGTATAATTATTCTACACTAATTAGACCGTCTCTGTATTTTATACACACATGCTTCACACCAAAGTGAATTTAGAGTTATATTTTTTGTATAGTTGTACTATGTCATATTTGTATATACATCTTTATATTACAGAAACTATAAAAATTGCATTACATATTTCTCTCTTTTCACTCTTTTTCTCTCCCTATTTGTATGAATGCAATCTTTCAAAAAAAAAAAAAAATCTGATTTTCAGAATATTTATAAAAAAAAAATTATGACCAACTGAAACATGTGGATTAAATGTTGATCAAATTCGTTTATTTGAAAGAGGGAATCAAATTTTCCCATCGGCATGGAATTTATATGATAAAGTATTAAACATCTGGAAAACAATTAAATTCTATAACTGTATGATTGCATAAAAAAAAGTAATCAATGGTGTAGCTTGTACGAGTTGGAATGCTTGACCTTTCAACTGTACATTAAAAGCATATGATGAAGGCCATGTGATTCGAAACAGAGTGTATTGAATTTTATATGCTTCATACACCTAGTTGGAGACGTGGAATTCACCAAAATAATCAATGCATAATCAAATTTCTTCACCCACAGATCACGTATATTTATTTGATTTCCTATCCTAAAGAAATGCATCAGGCCAAACAAAAAATAAGGATGCTTATACTATAGTTTCAACAGTTACTACGATAAGTATCTGATTAACGACATTTTTCAAATATAAGATCAATAAGACAAGTAGTTATTAATATTTAATCATGATTTGACGATTATAATGAACATTGAAACAGTTAGTTAATGTAATGTATCGCTCTACAAACCTTATAAATATAGGATATTATTATTAGGGGTCACTCCAAGAGCTTTATTTCCAGGTTTTGGGGAGTGTTCATAGTTCAAACAAGAACTCACTCACTCATTCATTCATTAGTTCAGTCACTCACTAATCACTTCCAATGCCGAAACAAAGGTGCTCCTCCAAGTTAGATCTATTGACGAACCTTATTCTTTGATCATCATTGTTTTATCTTGTTGTCTGTGTAATATATTATGTTGATTTTGCTCATTCAGATTTATACTTTGATGATGAACTTTGATTATAGGTTGGAGGGTAAGGTGGCTCTTATCACCGGGGCAGCAAGTGGTATCGGAGAAGAGACGGTGAGATTGTTCGCAGAACACGGAGCAGTTATTGTTGCAGCAGATATTCAAGACGAGGAAGGTGAAAAAGTTGCTGCTTCGATAGGGTCAGAGAGAGTGACTTACCACCATTGCGATGTGAGAGATGAAAACCAAGTTGAAGAAACCATAAACTTCACTATGGAAAAACACGGTCGAATAGATATTCTGTTCAGCAACGCAGGAATAATAGGTTCTCTGTCTGGAATCCTTGACCTTGATCTGAATGAGTTTGACAACACCATGGCCACAAACGTTCGCGGTGTAGCCGCCACAATAAAGCACTCGGCACGTGCGATGGTTGCCAAAGGCATCCGTGGATCCATCATATGCACCACCAGTGTGGCTGCCACAGTTGGTGGAACGGGTCCTCATGGTTATACCACATCAAAACATGCTCTTACGGGGTTGGTGAAATCAGCTTGCAGCGAACTCGGTGCGTATGGAATAAGGGTCAACAGCATATCCCCTTTTGGAGTAGCCACACCTCTTGCATGCAGGGCTTTCAACTTTGAGCCTGAGCAAGTTGAAGCTAATAGCTACTCACAAGCTAACCTCAAGGGTGTGGTGTTGAAGGCCAGGCATGTAGCAGAAGCAGCTTTGTTTCTAGCTTCTGACGAAGCCCTTTACATAAGTGGTCACAACTTGATGGTGGATGGTGGCTTCTCTGTGGTTAACAGAAGTTATTCTTTCACACCAGGTGACGTTTAGACCCAAAAAAAAACTTTTTTTTTTCTTTTTTGTGGCAGATTGGCTTTGGTTTCCTTATCCTTCAAGTTGAGAAGATGATGTCATGCGGTGCGTCAAATTACATTGTTACTGGGACTTTTCAATTCTGCACTGTCCATCTCCTTTGTTTTTGTATGTTTTTTAGTCTGCTTGTGACTCAAAACCCTGTTTGCTTTCTATGTACTTTTCCTTATCTTGGGTTTAGCTTCTTAACATCACATCACCCGTTTCACTCCCTCTTTTTTCCTTTATTTTATGTATTTCAAGTTTTCTCTGTGTTACTTTCTATAATGTTGCATACTGTCATATACATATAAGGTCAAGGATACTTAATTTGCTGACTTTTCTGTCTTCCAATAAACTAAAGAACTGTGCAACCCTGGAACCAGAGGCAGTCATTTCAATTATATTTTTTTGCCATTTCATTTTGTAAAGATAAAAGCATGTTTTTGTAGGAATATTTGAATTCAAACTTAACTCATTACATTGATCAAATAGATTTCTTCTACTGCATGAATCGTGTTTTTTGCTCCATGTCACTAGGGAAAGCACGAACCACAGTAATTGTAACACAAATGTTACGACCATTCGTTCTTATCTACTCATTTAGTCTCTAAGATGCGGCGAAATTGTCGGCCACTAAGGGCTAATTAATCTACAGGTTTCGTTCCACCCTCGATGTTTACAATTCCAAAGATTCAATTTTTCTCATATTGTTCAATTCACCAAGCCTTTTTCTTTTTCTTCTTTACTTTTTTTTTTGTTTGTTTCAATTATACGGGGCAAAACCATCGGCAACTAATTACAGGAAAGACAAACACACATGTATTTGTAATCGTGTTTAACCACTCTCTTTTGTTTCCGTTTATTTAGGCTTTGCATAGTTTCCCAATTATAAGGTGGTTTCAAATTCGGCTTATGATTATATAATTTCAGAAGTAGTTGAATGGGTGGCGTCAAAAGCACATGCTGAAAATTATATTATACGACTTGAAGCTGAAGGTAGAGACAGAGACAGAGACTCTGTGTATAGTCCAATTAATCAGTTTCTATTTTGTCAACCCCACAACCGCAGGAAGAAACACGTGAACTTTTAATAAATCATAAACGTAACACATTTTATCTCACAACCAAACCCTAGCTAAAACTTCATCATCAAAATCACAAAATCTAATGCATCCAAATACATTGTTAGAAGAAAATACACACATTGTTGAAGAAGCGATGAAATATATATTTATTGAGAAACCGTGTTGATGATTGGTGAATAACATTTCATGCATTGCCATTTATATATATGAAGAGAATATAACAGCTAGCTGAGGAATATTATTGAAGTCAACCTATTGAAAATCAGAAAAAAAAAGTTATTATTTGAAGCCTCCCCTGTGACAGTCCAACTTGTGTTAAAATCATATATTTCTTAAATTGGCTAGTTGACCTGTCTGTATAAAACATACTCACACTAGTTACACATACGTGGTCTATGTATATACCACGTCTATTCATTTTTAATATTGTTTAGGAAATTTATAATGGAAATAAAAAAATTAATAAAATTTCATTGTTTTTCAAGACTAGTTGTAGAAATGTATATCAGTCTTTTTCATTTATATTGTTTTTCATTTTTAATGTTAATGTTTGAATTAGTTAAAAGTTAAGTGTTTCATCAGTTTAATTCAGTCTTTAAAACCTAAAGTAAGCATTATATCAAACTATTTATTTTAATCATTTAATACTATATTTATTAAAAGTCTCATTAATACGTTTTACTGTGATTTCTAATAAGTTTCCAGTATACATTTTAATAAAAAAAGAGAGTTTAAATACAGTTTTTATTAGTAAATTTATGATAAATTTGATGTAAATATTTAAAATTTAAAATTTTGAGATTGTTTTTAGAATATGAAATTAAATAAGATTAATTTAATTAAAAAATATTATATTTAGATCTTTTTACTAATATTTAAATCTACTCAAACTGTTTATTACAGTACTTCCTTTTTAGTCTGTCTAAAAATCCTAGTCCAATAATTATAAATAGTATGGAGAAGAGGAAAAACAATTTTTGCGAGAAATCAGCGCTTCTTCTTCTCTGTACAAAATCCAAATACAGAACGGGCTTATCGGTCTAATTGGTACCGTAGGCACCACCAATAGTAAAAGGAGTTCAAAAATACAATACATAATAGCCCAAAATCACTTCCCCGGCCACGTGCTTAAGCCCAAGTTTATGACATGTTTTACAGTTTCAAGACTCTTTTTCCCATCGATACGCGCGTCCAAACGTTGTCTCACCGAATTCCACACCACCTGTGTATGAACGCGTAACGTAACCCTTTGTAAAAGTTCTGTCCCAAAGATCCCAAACCTGACATTCAAAGTTAAGCTACCAGTCCCATATGAAAATTCAGAGCCCACACCGAAGAGCTGTGTGTACTTGTTGCTTAATGTGGCAAGTTACGAAGCCATAGAAGAGGTGCATGATTGGTGGTTAATTAACCAACTGACTGGAAACAACAACAATCACCATGGCATTGGAGACAGCGTGGTATGATTTCGCGTGTTTTGCAATAGTTGGGTTGGCCTTTTTAGGAGCGTTATTGGTGCTGGGAATGAACGAGAGAGTTTCCCGGAGGGACTTTGAGACCACCTATGAGAGCCTTTTGTTGTCTCGACCTGACGATGAAGTGGTCGTGGATGTTCTGCCCAGTTATCACGTGAGCACCTCACAACTATGGACAAGTTGCTGGCAAGGATTGCACCCCTTTTGCCTCCTTTGTACCCGTTTCCTTTCCTTTGTGATCATGCTTCTTTTCTTGCTCTGGGATGTTCTACTATACGATGCCAGAATCTTTGTTTACTACACTGAGTATGTTTTCTCTTCCTATCTTTGCTATCACACTTACCCTATTTTTTTATATAGAGATATGGTTAATTAGACACTGAATATGTACATCTCTCGTGATAAAGCTTCAAACTTTGGTTTAACAGGTTGCGAAGAACTAACTTCATCAGTTAGACTTGACCTTTGTTGGTCAACCTCATCTGCTTGTGTAATTTATGACACTCCCCTGTCTGCATGCCTTATATAATTGCAGATCTTCATTTTTTATTGCTATAAAATTGCCATTTGTAGTACTTTCTCTATGCCCCCGATTAAGTCATGACAAGCCCAGGGTAGAATTTGTTTTCATGCCTATTAAGATGTTATATTCTTTCCCTTCTCTTTCTTTCTGTTGTTTGCCCCAACATTCGATGTATTTATTCCTCTGACTAGACTACTCTGGAAGGAATTGAGTAATATGCCAATTGTAGTGCTTTTATAGGTTCTTATATTATGAAGACCATTTAATCTATGGCGTATTTATTTGCAGGTGGACTTTTGCATTGGTTATTGTATATTTTGCGGTAAGACAATTCCATCCGTTGTAAATTCATTGTCGAAGATATACTTTTTTCCTTTTTTCTTTGATCAGAATTAAAGTTTCACTTTATTAATTTATGTAATAAAGGTTTACACATTAATGTTGAGCATAGGTTGTAGAAGTGAATTTTCATTCTGTTTAGAGACAAACACCAAAAACACCTAAGGAATTGCATATAAGTTTGGTTGTTTGAATTGGCACCTACTTTGCATTTATTACTTGTTTGGAACTTTGAATGCAGTTGGGAACCACAATATCTGTATATGGATGCTGGAAGCTCCTTAATAAACCTCTCATTCACAATGGTAAAAAGGATGAGTTTCTGAGCAGGGATGTGGAACAGATAAACACCTACCAAGAGAAAGAAGCAAAGGATTCCATCAAGTTGGAAAGGCGATATGTTGAAGAGGACTTTGAACAAAGAGCAGGGTTTTGGGGTTACCTCATGCAAACTACGTATCAGGTAGGTCAAACACATCGAATTCAATGTTACCTCTGAGGAAAATTACAGTGAAAAATGTCACTATGTGCCTTTCTGGTATCGGTTAACTGATATGCATTTACAGACATGTGCAGGGGCTGCCATCTTAACAGACATTCTATTTTGGGGTGTTATAGTTCCCTTCTTACAAATTTCTCATTTAAGACTAAGCCCGGTGAGACTAATCCTTCTATACACTAGCTGCTTTTGCTACTCGTACATATTCTTCCTTTCATTCACTGTTTCTGCATACAAACACTAGAATTACCATTGCTGATTTCACTCCCGCAGTGTCATAAAAATCCTTGATAATTCTGTCTATACTACTGATTGTATTATAATTTATCTGTGCAAGAAAGAACTCTAACTGATTTTTGTTGGCCTGAACGTGACAGTTGATGGGATGCATGCATGCATTGAATGCATTTTTCCTCCTTCTGGATACAGCTCTTAATAATCTCGTAAGTGTCATTCACCCTTGAATAAATTTAGTGACAAAATTTAGATAAGTACTTTTAGTATTGTTTTACACTAATCTTTAACGCAATGAAACTCTGGATGACAATACCAAAAGTACTTAAAGAAACTTCATCCAAGTTTAAAAGCATTTAGCACTCATCCATCTCACGGTTGTGATGTTGGTGCATTCATTGGCAGCAATTCCCTTGGTTTAGACTCTCTTATTTCGTTCTCTGGAGCTGTGGTTACGTAATTTTTCAATGGGTCATCCACGCCTTTGGATTCCAATGGTACCATAACTGTGAATATCTCGTTTCCATTGTCAGAACAGGCTTTCTTTCACATAGTTGTAAGCTTGTTTTTTTGTTCCCTAACAGGTGGCCATATCCATTTCTCGAGCTTAATAACGAATGGGCTCCTATCTGGTGGGTCCTACATACACTCTAAAATTGCTCAAGTTTTGTTTTGCATTATTCACTTTGTGAATAGAAATCATTCCATGGAACTATAAGATTGATTTAGCAGTAAAAGTTAGAAGAGATTCTGAGTTAAACTTCCCCTATTAACATTTGAGATTTGAGAGCTAAGATTGATTTGAAGGGTTTGAAAAGAATGATGAAATAGACTGTTGATTCTTCTTTTCATTAACAAAATACTAACATCTAATGTTCCATGATTTACACTTCTCAAGGGGATTCCTAATTGATCAAGATAATTTGAATCATGTTCTAATTAATTTCTCTTTCTTTTGCATTGAAATGGTTTCACTGATTAATCTATGTACATGCAGGTATTTGTGCCTGGCAGTAATTCATGTCCCTTGCTATGGCGTGTATTACCTGATAGTGCGAGGGAAAAATACCATTCTTCCCAGATTGTTCCCTCGAGCATTTTTAAGGTCACACTAGTTCGCTTGTCTATGGAAGTTCTGTAAAAACTAGGAAGGACATGCTTGTTTGTTGCTGATATATCAGCATGGTCCACACGTAAGAACCAAATTCAATTTCTTTCAGTTTGCACAAATTAAACAGTGAAGCTACGATGTTTAATATGTTTAGCACTATTACTAGGAATGATTATATACTCCATTTCAAAGGAAAATAACATTCCTAGGAATATTATTTCTGGGAGAAACATTTTAAAATTCAAAATATTTTATTATGTTTATGAATATTTTTTAAATAAACCTAATTTGAATAAAAAAAAAAGCTAAAATGGAAGTTGCAAGTGTAATATAACTTCTTATTTATATTTTGATGGAAATACCACTTTTTTACTTCATTGACATGGGAATAAAAGTTACTAGATGTTAATATAGATTTTCTCATACAATATACACGATAATTATTTTTTTTTATATTTTATAATAAATACAATAATAGATGCTTTTAACACGCATTAACCGTAAGGAAAATTGATGGATATTTTGTGGGTTATTATGTATTACTTAACTATTCATTTCTAGTGAAACTTTTGTCCTTTACTTGAATTCTTGGGTGGAGACTAAAACTACTCAGCATCAACGAGTTATAAATTATAAAGTAACGTATGATATATTATCTTCAATTTAAATGTATTTTGTGTTTTTTTTATATATATATCATTGATTTTTTTTTATTCCTACCAAAATGAGAATTTTTAATAACATAAGCATAGTTTAATAGAATTGTATTAAACAATATAATCTTTAGTAAAACTTATACTGGTATTAATAACATTAAATACATTTAGCTAATATCGGTAATCTTTATCAGAGTGTAAATTAAAAAAAAATTAGTTTTTGAAAAATATTTATATAAATAACATGATCTTTAAAAAATATTATAACATAATAAATATCAATTTATACAAAAGTTATATTAAATGTGTATATAATTTCTATAATATATTAATTTTATTATTTTAGCATTGTAAAAAAATTTCAATCCTTTTAATTTTATGGTATGACTTTTTTTATCATTAACATTAAAATCTGATTTTTAGATGAATGTTGTTTTAGTACTACACATGACGCCTATCTTCAATATGTATTATAAGAGAAAAAAAATAAATAATAAAGATTAAAATGAAGAAACAAAATACATAAAGAAAATCATTAATATATAGAAAAATACATCTTATTACTGTGCTAAAATAATAGATATTCTTGGGTAAGGTAAGATTCGTATAAACTCGTTATCTAATAACTAAAAAATATTGAGTTGAGTTGGACTAAGTTTCTACATTTATTTTAGGTTAAATGCAAATCAACCTAATTCGTTATTTAACTTCAGTTAGGTGAAATTAGTTGGATTAAAATTTTAAATAATTATTATTTTTTGTTAAAAGTTGTAATTTTTATATATCAACATAACTTAAAAAAAATACAATCTTTATAAAAAATAATTCAATTCAAGATTCATATTAGTCAACCAATTAAATTAAGTCACAAAAAGTTACCATAAAAAAAAACATAAACACAATTTATCTATAAGAGTAGATCTCAGTTGGTTTATACTAAATTCCTCGTTAACTCGTATAAAAGTAAGTTAACTAAAAAAAAAGTAAGTCAATTTTAGTTAAGTGGGATTTAACTCAATCAAATCTATGAATATTACACATGTGTCGATTTTTCTTTATCATAATAAAAATAAGGAAAAGAAAAATCAAATCATAATTATTGACATAACAAAGTATTATTAAATTTATAAAAAAATCATAAAAATATTTACAAAATAAATAAGTTACAGAAATTAAAAAAATAATATAATAAAATAAATCATACTCATAAAATTAAAATTAATTAAAAATTATTATATCACTTATAAATACTAAAAAAAATCTTTCTATGAATAATTATAAATTATAGAAGGAATATACCAAAAATTTTTATTTTATTTTTTAAAAGAAAGAAAACTTAAATACTAATTTGGTAATTATTTTCACTCAATGTTTATTAATTTAGTTCTAATTTTTTTGTTCAAATTAATTTTAATTTTTATCAATTTTGTTTGATTTATTTTTTTAACGCTATTTAAATAATTAAATGAATGTTTGTCACAAGTTTGTAGTTTTTTTATTTAAAAAAATAATTTTTTAATTAAAAAAATATTCATATATTAAATTAGCATCATCTCACGATTAATATTTTATATTAAATTTAACTTTTATATTTTTCTTTAATTTAGTTATAGTTTTTTTAAAAATGAAATAGTTTTGTTTTTAAATCAAATTTTATTTTTATATAATTATTATATTGATATTTTTATTAAAATTTGTATTTTATTAAATATTTTTAATTTAAAGTTAAAGTTGATTTAAAATTAGAATGAAAATTACAAAAATGAAGAGTAACAATAAAAGATTAAAAACATATTTAATTTTTAAAATTTTAAGAAGCTAAAAAATGGAAAGTAACTTTATTAAAATTTGATTTTAATTTTAACCTAATCCTAACTAAAAAATATTTTATAAAAATATGAATTTTAATAAAAATAATATTATAATAATTATATAAAAATTAAATTTAATAAGGATAACATTATTTCATTTTAAAAAAAATAAATTTATATTGAAAAAATAATGAATATAAATATCAGATATGTATGATACTGACTGTCACATTCACATATGATACTCACTTAAAACAGAAATATTTAAATTAAAAAAAATAAAAACTGATATGTATATTCTTCACTATGTGGTTAATTATTTAAATAACATTTATAAAGTAGATTAAAATTAAGAGACGAGATAAAAGAGATGGAAGGTCAGGGGTGTGAAATATGTTGAAGGCGGTGGGTATTGTGTCGAACCCTTCTATCTTCTATCAAAACACTCACCTTTTCACATAAATCTTTTTATCACAATCTTCTCGGAAACTTCTTCGGTTTCCCATCACAAAATTTCCTTCCGCCACACGCACATCGCAAATCATCACTTCAATATTTAAACCATTGATTTAAGATCCACACCCGCAATCGTTCTCGAACCCTAGAACCCCAATTCCAATCGATTCCTTTCTCTCTCTCTCGATTGCAATAACCTAACTTCCTGTCTGATCCGGCACTGGAGCTGGGGTTTGTGATTTCAGAGCTTAGTAATTAATAATCAACAACCAAGAGAAGAGGAGAAGAGATGGATGACTGTTGTGCTGTTTGCGCAGAGCCTTTGGAATGGGTCGCCTACGGACCCTGTTTGCACCGGGAGGTGTGCTCCACGTGCGTCGCTCGCCTCCGTTTCATATGCGACAATCGCTGTTGCTGCATCTGCAAGACCGAATGCAACCACGTATTCGTCACCAAGGTCGTGCCCAATGCCCAACTCTCTTTTTTCTTCCCGCTTAATTTCTGTCGTTTTTCTTTTTTCTTGCTAAGTCCAGGTTTTGTGATATTGTTTTACGTCCACTGCTCTTGTTGAAGAGTCTTTGAGCTCTGGGTAGATTGAGTTAAAATCTTTACTTTTCCACATTGACACTTACCGTTGTGTGCGATTATGACATGCATTTTTAACAATTAGAGGAATCTTTGGTATCTGTTAGCTGTAGTTTCAAGTTGTTTCGAGTTATTGGAGCGTATATTTATCCCTTATTTGAGGTTTATTGCGAAAGTTTTACTCTGCGATCACTGTCAATTATATTGGGGCGGCTTATTTGTTCCTGCATTCATGTATGAACCAATTTAAACGTGTCGCTTGTTTTGTGGAACTTTTCTATTGATGTAATGGAAGTTTGTAATTCACCCAAAATAGCATGTTTTGTATCTGAAGATTTTTACTTGATTTTGCTTCTAAACCGCTGGATTTAACAATTCATGATTTGGTTAAACATGATTTGCAAGCTGTGTTTTATTCAATGATGCAGCCTTTAATCCTGTCGATGTTGATAGCAGGGCTTGCTCTGCTAACTATACGTTATTGTAATCTGTGCTATCTTTTGATGTTGATATTCAATTTTACTGCGTACTGCCAGGCTCTAGGAGATTATACAAAGATGATTAATGATTTTGCTGCCCTTCCTTCGGATGTAAGGGAGGGCAAGATTGGATCATATTGGTACCATGAGGATACAAATGCATTTTTTGATGATGTGGACCATTACAAGATGATCAAGGCTATGTGTAGACTTTCGTGCAGTATATGTGAAAAGACGGATGAACAACCACAGGGTTCTGCTTCAAGACGACGAGAACAGTTTAAGAATATAGGGCAATTGAAGGGTCATATATTCCACCGTCACAAGTTGCATATGTGCAGTTTGTGTTTGGAGGGCAGGAAGGTGATATTTCATGATGTGTCTGATAAGAATTTCCTGGACGATATAACTTGTAATCTTTTCTATTGACTGTGAGACTTGTAACCGTTTCTGTGAATTAGGTTTTTATATGTGAGCAAAAGCTATATACCAGAGCACAGTTGAATCAACACATAAGCACAGGTGATTCTGAGGTGGATGGAAGTGAGAGTGAGAGAGGTGGTTTCATGGGGCATCCCATATGTGAATATTGCAGAACCCGATTTTATGGAGACAATGAATTGTACGTGCATATGTCTACAGAGCATTATACTTGTCATATATGCCAGAGGTAACAACTAAGCTAATCCCATGTACAATTGGTGTGTCATAAATTAAGACTTGTAATATTTGTACTTCTTAATGCAGGCAGCATACAGGGCAGTATGACTACTTTAAGAATTATGATGACCTAGAGGTAAGATATATGCTTTAGGCTCGTTTTACTCTCTTATTAACTAAATGGGTTTACAAGATCTTTCCTGTCATTTGAAATTGAAGTATTTATATTGACATGTCTTGTACAGATTCACTTCCGTAAAGAGCACTTCTTATGTGAAGATGAGGCTTGTCTTGCTAAGAAATTTGTTGTTTTTCAATCTGAAGCAGAGATGAAGGTGAGTGATTATTTATAGCACATGAATCTCATTTTAGTGATTTGCTTAGAATGTGCCTATGTGCTTTTTATGTAGCTGCATAATAATTCTCAGGCCTGTGCATTTGGGCCTTATTATTTTTGTCTTATACTATAAAATTATTAGATGTGTTGGTGTTATTATGAGATTTATTCTGTCTTTGTTGATTTTTTTTCCTTGATTATTGCTTAGAAGCATAATGCTATCGAACATGGAGGACGGATGTCACGATCTAAGCGGAATGCTGCTCTTCAGGCATGTATAGTGACAATCTTTTCTTTTGAATGTGTTCTCCAATGACAAATTATTTCCTATATTGTTTGCATTCCCTTATGAAATAACTGTAGCTACATTCCCTCTGTTACAGATTCCAACTAGCTTCCGATACAGACATGGTAATGAACAAGAGCAACGCCGTGGAAGAAATCGTTCTTTTCGTCGTGATTTTACTGAAAACCAACTTGCAATGGCCATTGAAGCTAGTCTAGAGACAGCTAATGTAGAGCAAACATTTCGTAATCAATCAGCATCAGGTAGTGGGCAAGTTGCTGTTGATGATGGGAATGGAGACATTGATTCTTTCATTCAGCCATTTGAATCATTGGCTGTCACTGGTTCTGAAGCATCTTCAAGATACCTTCAAGCCTTGGGACATAGCTCAAGGAGTGGACCTCTGGAGGATTCTTCATTTCCACCACTACCCGTAACTTCCAACAATGGCCATCAAGGATCCAAACAGGAAGTCGAAGGCTCATCTAGTAATTCCATGGCTGCACGTCTGCGTCGTCATAACAACAGAACTGTAACAGTTGTTAATTCTGGTAATGCTTGGCCAGCAGCAGGTCGTGGACTGGTACAACCGTCAAGTAATCCTTCACAATTTCGACAGTCATCAAATAATGCTCTGGGTCTTTCTCGTAATTCTGGGCAGACAAAGAAGACTGTAATTAACAGTGGACTTTCACCATCAACTTATGCTGGTTCTATTCAGTCTACCCAAAGAACTTCTCGTGGACACTTACCTGGTGGTTCATCGAGGGACACACGTGACAATGTTAGAATTGTTCACTCTGCATCTGCCCCGAATCTCACGGAGAACAACTCTGTTGAAGCTTCACTAACTGATTTTCCTCCTGTTTCTGCTCCACAAGCGAGCAAGATACCTGCTAGCAGTCATTCTTCATTGAATGTGGAAAATGTTCAGTCTGCTAACCAGTCCCTGGTTGAAAAGATTCGATGTGCTCTTGATTTTGATGAAGAAAGGTACAGTATGTTTAAGGATATATCTGCCCAATATGGCCAAGGCACAATAGATACGGAAACTTATATGGACTATGTGCAGAACTTTGGCTTGTCTCGTCTTGTGCTTGAGTTGGCAAGATCATGCCCTGATACTCAGAAGCGGGCAGAGCTTGTTAGTGCTAGCTTGCAAAGAGATGTTTTACTGGAAAATAACTTGGTTCAAAGCAGCACAAGCACCCATCGCAAAGACAGTAATGTAAACAAGAAAGGCAAAGGTAAGTCTGTAGATAGTAGGGGGAGTAACCCCACAGAGAAATTAGCAGATAACTTTTTAAGCACCGTACATCAGCTACAGGCAAATTATAAATCTTCAGAAGAGAAGGTGGAGGTGCTATCAAGGGATGATTACCGAAGCGACAGGGGCAAATTAAAAATCGAACAGCGGACTGATACCAATTCTGGAAGTCAACCTGCGGTGAAGCTTAGTGGGAAGACTGAAACATCAAATGGCAGTTTATCTACTCAAGTTAGAGAGGATGGTGGTGGTGGGAACAAGCAACGCAAGAAAGGTTCAAAGTTCCTGAGAGTACGACTTGGTGATGGTTCTGCTTCGGCCCTTTTTGATCAACCTGATCCTGGAAAAACAGACAGCTCAGAAGTTAACGATGAACCTGGAGGAGGGCCACCTGTGCGTGGTGTTTGGCGAAAAGGGGGAGGTCATAAACTTTTTCTCTAATTTTTGCTTCACCATCATTTTTAAAACGTGAAGTATCAAACGCAGTTGAGCCACGGTTGAACTGCAATATAAACATGAATTTGGTTTCAGCTTAGGGGATATTTGATTATATCGAGTTTAAGTTAGATTTCAAGTATATTGTGGGACGCGATTTTGTCGATGGCCAAACGCCGTTGCCGAAGTGGGCACACTTTTTTGGTTTGGGGTATATGATTTTGTTAAAGACAAGTGTTCATATGAAAGTATGGTGCTAAGTGTTGCGTTGTATGAGAATGGCACTGTTTCTTACATAGCCAGGCCAGACTTGACACTATAATCCACGTCAGGTGTTTTGGGATATCCCGAATGCTAAAAGGAATCCGTAATAAAAACAAGAGTACTTCTGATTGTGAAAATGTTAAAAGGAATCTGTAATAAAAACAAGAGTACTTCTGATTAGTGAAATTGATTTTGAATTGAAGTTACATTAATGCACGAATAAGTATATTTTTTGAATTACGAGCAGTCGCTCGTTCGCAGCTTGAATCATTCCTTGCTAGAAGGAAACTTGAATGGGGACTTCATTCCGAAACCGAGCACGCCATCTCCGAATTTGTTGGACATTTTGAATGAACCTCCACCCTTCTGCATGGTGAGACTTTGGAAAAAAAAAAGAAAAATTAACCAATTGATGTTTTCAAATTAAGACGGGGGTCTGATTTGCCAGTTTCATGTTAACTGCATTACTATATCTCTAAAGGATTGCAAACTTCGAGTCACTTTCCATTCAAATGCTAGGAACATGTTTAACCCTTTTCAATGTAACTGTTTTTTATTTTTGAAGGTTAAATTCCTTATAAAGCCACATCACCAAGTTCTTGATGCACCTCTAAAAACTAGCCAAAGTTGCAACACCATAACCATGTTCTGGTTCATTTAATAACAACATGGATTTAGATTTTTTATTTATTTTTAATTTGCTTGATTGTCGGATTCTTAAAAAAATAACTACCACGAAGAACTTCTGCTGATGAGAACATTTAAACATTTACAAATATAAGCGAGTTAATAGGTGAATTGTGTCATATTAATTGTTTTTAGTCTTTCTTTTCCGTAGGAAATATAATGGCCTAAAAAACTTTGGAGACTAATATCGCATAAATCAGAAAAAAAAAGTAATTAAAATACAATTAAATAAATGAAATGTTGAAAAATGAAAATAATTTTTTAATTAACTTGTCAATCTTTGGATTAAATATTCCTTATACTCACAGAAATCTTAACTAACTATCTAAATTCATTAACTAAATTAAGATCCCTGTATTGTTCCATAAAATACATGGAATCATCTGAGGTTGCTTAAATAATTGAAAATTTTACTAAATAATAAATCTGTAAATTACTAGAAAATGTCAAATAATTTCTGTGTTTGGATAAAATTTAACTAGAAAAAAGAGTTACGTATTGAACAATTACACAAACTTTTGAAAAACTAGGAATTAACAGATTAATTTGACCAAAAAGAAGCAGCGCGAAGCAAGCTTATAAATCCTTCAGTTCAATGCAAGCATGCTTAAACCCTACTCCGCCACTGCATCGCTGAAGGAGCAAAATGGATTCGGCGAACGGAGCAATGGCTGTGAGAGACCAAAACTTAACGGAATGGCGCATGCACCGTGGTCCCTACCTGGGAGACATTTCAGCTCTGTGTTTTCTCCACCTTCCAAATCTCTCTCTCCCTTTTCTGCTCGCGGGTACCGTTTTGCTCTCTCCGCATTGAATTTCACGTTGTTTAACCTTCATTTGTTTTAACCTAGTGAACCTTCCTTCAGGTTTGGGTTCAGAAATTGCGGTCTATGATTTGGAACTGAGTAAGAGAATAAGGTCCTTCTCCGTATTCGAAGGAGTTCGCGTCCACGGAATCGCTTCTAGTTTCCCTCGCGGGACCATGATTGCTGTGTTTGGGGAAACCAGAGTGAAGCTGTTTAGCTTCGAATTTGATGCCGTTTCCGGGAGCGCAGAGCTGACGCTAGCTCATTTGTTGCCGAAGTTTGGTCACTGGGTTTTGGATGTTTGCTTCCTCGAGGTCAGTGAGAATAAGTGCTTAACACATTTGAGTTTCAAATGATGAATGCTTCTTCTTCTTACTTGTGTTCGTTTTTTCTTTAAGTGGTAATAGGGATGCTTACCTCATTCCAATGTGGAGGGTCATTTTCTTGCTGTGGGATGTAGTGATAATTCAGTTCATGTTTGGGATTTTTCTAACTCCATTGCGGTCCTTAAGGTTCAATCTCCAGGTTAGTTTCAACTTCACTATATGTGTTTTTTATTATTTTTTATTATTTTTTTCATGAGGTTATGTTTCTCTTTGGATGATAGTACGGTGCCTTCTGTACTCAATGCGATTATGGGGTCACAATCTTGAAGTTCTCCGAATAGCTTCTGGTACTATATTTAACGAGGTGAGAGATCTGCTGATGATTAATGTTTACAATTGATTTTAAAAATGGGCGACAGAAGTCACATGAATTATGAAGTATTTATTCTAAACATTTTATATCTATCATTCAAGTATATTATTGTTTCTTTCCTAGATAGAGTCCTGATCTGACTAATATGTAGCGGAAGCATTAGGCTTACGTATTTCATGCTAATTCACCTATTTAATTCATTCGTTTGTCCTTTGTTTTGGTTTTTAAATGATGGTGAATGCTTGCGATCCTTAATGATGGTAGAAAGAAATTGAGTTAACAGATCATCTTTTGAAGACAATTGATATACCCATAGAAAGATACATCTTTCCTTTATGTTTAGTCTCATCAAATGCTGAATAGCATGTTCCGATCCAACATGGACATGTTAGGTATGTGATAAGAAGTGAACCTAGACAGAACTGATAATAACGTAAGTTCCCTCATTGTCCTCATCCAGGGAGCATTTTTACTATTATTTGGCTTGAAATTGGCTCCTGATGCCTATAATTTGCCAATTATCTTCCATGTGCTTTAGTATTTGTTACTCTAAATTCTGCTTCTGCAAATCCAGTGGGCTGGTTACCGGAAAAGCCTTCATAACACTGATTAAATGGAATCTTTTTTCTGCCCATGCAATCATGCTTAATCCACATACAAAAACCAAAGACCTCATGCGAATAAAATTTCTGAGTGTTGGAGACTATCCCAATTTTCATATCGAAGGATAATAACTATATAACACAACTGCCGTAATATGAGCATAATATAATGCCACATGATTACGTTAGTTATTTTTATTGAAGCGCACCCATGAAGGATCTTTTTTCTGCTCTGTATCTCTTTACTTTGGTTTTCTCTGTATTAGTGTTGTACTTAAAATACTTATCATTGTCCTTTTTAAAGGTTCCTTGAGTTTTTTATGGCCTGATGTTTAATTTGTTGATGTTTCTATTTTCTTTTAATTACTTCAAAGAGTTTGGTTCGGGCAGATTATTGTTTGGAAAGTGACCCATCAACACAATAAATCTTCAAGTCATCAAGAAAACCATGATCAACAGAGCATTTCATCTTCTGTTTGCTGCCAGCTAAAGGATAAACTGTTTGAGGCTACTCATATATGTAAACTTATTGGACATGAAGGTTCAATCTTCCGAATAGCATGGTCATCTTGTGGATCTAAACTGGTATCTGTCTCTGATGACCGGAGGTGAGTTACTTTTCAAGTCCTACTGTATCACTAATTTATGTTCACCCTTAGCTAATATATAATGACATGTGTTGTGATTGGTCTCCTTTATTAACGCAGTGCACGTGTTTGGGCTGTTTCTATTGAAGGGGAGCATGCATTGTGCCACAGTTCCACTGCCCTTGTCTTATTTGGACATAATGCTCGGGTTTGGGACTGCTCTATTTCTGATAATGTAAGCCATTCAGTTTTTATTTTCTTAGATTAAATAGTATCTTTTAAAAAATAAAACAACCAAAAGGAAGCATCCATTTTCAGTCATATATATGCACAATTTATCTTCAAGAAAAGATCTTTACTGATGTGTTAAACTTCCTATATTTTTATTCATTATATCATATTGTGCTTCTTCATCTCCAACGGAAAAGGTAGAATTATTATATAGTATCATTTCATACAATTTTCCAGTTTGTATCAATCTTTTACTGTTTTCCAAATTTTTCCATGCAATGATCACTATTAACTAATAAAATCATTATTCTGTTTTGATTTATTTTATTTGATTGAAACGTGTATTTACTTTTGAGATAGAAGCTTCTTCATAGACATATCTTATTTTCAAGGAAGAAATTTTTACTTTTATTTGTCTCCCTTGTTCTTTGAAAGTGACTTAGACTTTGGTCTTCTTGTAAGCCATTCCTTTAATTACTTCTGACCAGTAAATGCTTACAATTTGAAATGCATAATAATATTTCTGAAGATATTCATGTGCCACTAGCTTAAAGTTTGTGAACGAGTTTACTTATTAAGTTCTCATTTTGTGACTTTTTGCCACCGAGTTATTTTGACATAATTATTATTTTCACCTATCTGATCATTTTTTCTGATACTGATAAACTCCACTTATTGAAATAATTTTATAAGATATTTTACTTTTTAATGTATTTTTAATTTTCTAGTGACTTTTTCATAAATATTAATACTATCTTTTATAAATGATAATAGCATCCCTCATAATATGGAATGCTTGTCTTCAATTAAAAACTAGCTACAACTAAACGTTTTTTTTAATGTATTTGACTTGACAGTCTAAACCATACTGTGTTTATCTGTCCCCTTAGATTTCCATTTATATTGGTCTTTTTATTTCTGCAGTTGTTTGTCACTGTTAGTGAGGATTGTACATGTCGTATTTGGGGAGTGGACGGTAAACAACTGCAAGTCATTAAGGAGCACATGTAAGTTATCTTATGAACATAACTTCTTGATTGTTGAGTTAGAGTATAAATTGCTAATATTTGAAATTTACTAAGGCCCTAAGCAAACAATCATTGAAGATTATGTGGACTTTTGACATTCTGTGAACTGAGTGTCTAGTGTCTACAGGAAACAACCATCGGTAGTATGATATCTTGAGTACCTTTGAAATTGTGATAAAAGTGGTTGATCATATATCAACCCTTAAATGACCTGACTCAAGAATATTTCTTGTTAGTTATTGATTTCCCATGCTTCTCTCGTGAAAATTGTCTATTTTTTGGTTCATAGATATTTAGATGAGGCTTAAAAATGAACCAAAGAATTTTCTAGCATGAATTTTGGATTTTCTTACATACAGATGTTCCAATTTTGTTTATTTCTCAAAGTAA